AGCAGCAGCAGTAGCAGCAGGAGCAGCAGCAGTAGCAGCAGGAGCAGCAGCAGTGGTAGAGGTAGAAAAAAAGGATGCTGAGCGAGCGACAAGGGAGGCGAGGGGGAGGATGGAAGGGATGAAGTAGTAGTTTGGCACCCTACAGGCTAGGGCGCTCTCCTTATTATAAACACAGGTCCACGGCAAAAAGTTTATTACATTAATCTATGCTGAGATACCCCCTAACCATATTAAATGCATATTCATTACAAAATATATATTGCGCATGCGCTAACACATAAACGTAGCCAGATTGTGTACTGATTGGAATATGCAGCGGGGACCTTACATGCAAGGTCTTCTTCCCATTTCTCAAGTGATGTCTACTGATGGATTTTATCATAGAAATCTATCCTAGGATTAGATAGCTCCCCTTCAGTTTAAATGCATAAGTTTTGTAAAATATTGTTCTTTTCGGGAGATATTGCGCATGCGCGAGCACCGTTGAAAGCGTGCAGTACGGACTGAAAAACACTACTTAATATAGCTTGCCGAAGGAGAGAGGGGTAGGAGACTGAGGAAAGGCGGCAGGAACGATAGTTGAGGGGCGGTAGAAAAAGAAGTTGGCTGAGCGAGGGACAGGGGAGGCAAGGGGAAAGACGCGAGGGCATAAAGTAGGTGTTTTGTACCCTATATGCTAAGACGCTCTCCTAATTATAAACACAGGTCTACTGATAAATGTTTATTATGGAAATCTATGCTGAGATACCCCTAACCATTTTAAATGCATATTCATCACAAAATATAACTCCTCTGGTGAGATATTGCGCATGCGCTAACACACTAAAGTAGCCTGATTGTGTACTGGATGAAATAAGCAGCCGGGACCTTACATGCAAGGTCTACCTCCTATGATGTCTACTGATGGAATGTTATCATATAAATCTATGCTAGGATAACTCCTCTTTATTTTAAATGCATGATCTTTGCAAAATACAATTTCTCTCAGGAGATATTGCGCATGCGCGCGCACCGTGTTAGGCGTGCAGTGCCGTCTGAGGCAAACATTATAATATAGCTTGCTGAGGAAAAGAGGGGATGGGAGACTGAGGACAGGTGGCAGAGAAGATAGCTGGGGGCGGTTGAAGAAGAAGGAGGCTGAGCGATGGACAGGGGAGGCACGGGGAAGGACGCGAGGGCATAACGTAGGTGTTTTGTACCCTACATGCTAGGGCGCTCTCCTAATTATAAACACAGGTCTACTGATAAAAGTTTATTAGGGAAATCTATGCTGCATGAGATATCCCCCTAACCTGTAACTTATTTGGAATTACAGCGCATGCGCTGTGGCGGGATGCGAAAAGGATTTCAGGTGCCATGCCTCTTTATCCCCAATAACGATCAACAAAACTGATAATAATTCCATTATGCCCCGTTACTTTATTTCTGAAATAAAAGTCACCAAATCACTGAGGGGGGTGGCATCAGTGCTGTTTGTTTCACTGCGACATTCTACCACAACCAATCAATACCCATGGTTTTACGTGATCGATAAGTCATGATTACATGATCAATAAGTCATCAGACGTCAACGCCGAGATTTTTTCTCGATGGATTTTTCGCTCGCTTCTTTAGTACGTGTGTCGTCTTGCTTTGGAAGCCGACATCGTAATTTTCGAATGTCGCAACAGTTTGCGGAGATATATCCGTCACCAGGCCGCGCCACTGTCGCACCAGAGGAATCACACTGATGAAGATTCCAGATGCTAGAAATGACGCTCCGAGAACATAGATGGCGCTGTCCACCGTTCCCGTTCTATCGATTAGATATCCTGTTGTTAGTGGAATAAAAAAAACTCGTTATCTTGACGTGCAATAAATTAAACTACACACATTATGATGATATTATGTAAATGTTTTTTTACCATTAACCAAGATGAATTAACGGGAAACTAATGATAAAGGTGAAGATGAAGATGGAGACGAAGATGAAAATAATGATGAAGATGACGTTTGCTCCAAAAGCGCAACAGTAAAGCATATATATTAAATATAAGTAGAATATAAGCTCCAGTAATATAGAATAGAATAGAAGTATACTACATACCAAGGTCACACCTGAAACGTACCTATCAATAGTGGGTCTACCATCATCAACAATCCTTCAAATAACATAAATATGGCGAACCCGTTGCCGACTTGCGCAGGTCCGCAAATGTCCATCGTGATGGGGACCACGGTGGAGAAAGCTCCGGCCACCAACACACCCATGACCATCGTCCATCCGGCCAGTACCTCGTTCACTGTGATGAAGATGCAGGCGAACACCAGACCGCCGCTCACCGCTAGCAACGACCCCGTGCCTATCATCCGCACTGTTGGCGCACGGAAAGCATCGTGGTCCCAGACGAAACCCCACAGCACGCGACTGATCGTGTCTACTATGCTCATGAAGCCAATCATGGTGGCGCCACTGAACCTGCCATCGCCTACCTTGTCGGTGATCAGCGGCAGCAGCTGGTAGCTGTTGATATATGTGACGAGAAACAGCACGGTGGAGAGCGTAAGCAGTAAGAACGCAGCGTCCTTGAACAGGTACCAAGGAAACGTAACGACGTTGTCGTCGTTGTCGTCGGCGGGCTCGGCAAAGGTTGACATGCTGCGCACGTACACCTCTAGCGAGCCGTAGACACTTTGCAACCCCACCTCACCCTCCCTCACGGAATCCAACCTGCGGCGGCTCTCCGGCGACGAGGCACGCGCGACGACGACAACTGGCCGACGACGCGCTCTGACGACGGTGTCGACAGCAGCGCTCTCACGCGGCGTCGGGCAGGCGGATTCTGGCAGCGGTCGCATCAGCGCGCCTGGCCAGAACACGGATGTTGAAGGTCAAGCCCGCCGAGATGAGGAGGGCCAAACACTGATGCCGTTACTCGTCGACGACGGTGGTACCGGGGACGGTAGGGGAAAGCAGCACGAGAGCGACGCACACGGACATCACCAGAGCGGAATGCGGATCGATACGCGCTTCCGGAAGAGACTGCCCAGCAATGGAGAAGGACGGGTCGTGCATAAACTAATCCACCGCCCAGGCCGCCAGGGAGAAACAGCGCGCACTGCCGCAAGAATATAAGTCATCGTCGGCTAACTATATCAATCAAGGAGCTTAATAATGACAGTATTAATAATTGTAATTAATTTGTCAGTAATATTTGTCATTATTAGCTCCTGATATCATGGTATAACGATCATAGTAGGACATCTACGCACAATTCAAAATTGCCGTAGAATGACACATGCTATAAAGCTTTATACGATGCTTTGCGTGCCACAATATATGTAGCGCTAAACCTCGCGCTATATACGGTCGTTTCTTCGATAATATCACGACGGCGCATAATAATACGATTGGATAATAATATCAGATGAATAATCTTATGATGTTATTCACTCCTGATAGATAGTTAACATTTTCACACAGAATATTCGCGGTATGTGTGCGACGCGTCGCCGCGCAACAACTTACAAACGAAATATCTATATATATATATATATTAATATATTATTATATATATAATATGATATATATATATATATAACTAGACAATAATATATCATATATATAAATTAGAAATTACACCAGGCACACAACAACAGCAGGCTCTATTATTCTCACAAATACGGCTCCGTATTGTAAGAGCAAGGCGGTGTATGCTCATGGGCGAGTATGACGTGCTCATGCCCAGGCCCGGCCACACACTCCACCACGACCACTCACCGTCTGTGACACATAGTTGTTTGCCAGCCGTGCTCGAGATTGGAGCCCGCTGAAACTATTATATATCTAGTATATATTTTATATATATTACAATTATTATGTATATATAATATCTCCTATCTCTCCCTGCTATATAATAATACTATATATAGTAATATATAAGCACAAATCTATCACATCTATCAATGATTTGGTTGTTTTCTCTTTTTCTCTTTTGGAGCCATATCATTCTGCCATGCTCCACACGAGTTTGCGTGTGTGTGTGTGTGTGTGTGTGTGTGTGTGTGTGTGTGTGTGTGTGTGTGGTCCTGCTGAATGTCCTTGTGTGTGTCAGTGCGCTGTGTCGGCTGTGTCGGCCCGTGTGCTGCGTGGTTGCGTCGGGGTGTGCGCGCGCGCTGTGTGTGTGTGTGTGTGTATGTATGTGTTATGTGTACTGGGGTTGTGTCTGTCTGTTGTGCTGGTGTGTGTGGCCTTGTTGTGTCGTGTGTGTGTGTGTGTGTGTGTGTGTGTGTGTCTGTCTGTGTGTCTGTGCGTGAGAGAGAGCGGGCAGGCGTGTGTTTCGGTGTGTGTGTGCGCGCGCGCGTGTCTGTGCGTGTCCACGTGCGTCCACGCGCACGCGTACGTGTGTGCGTGCTCGCATGCAGACGTGTGCGTGCTCGCGCGCGTGTGCGTGTACGTCTAGCTTTCTCACCCATAGAGCACATGAGAGCGTAGGCTACTCCCACTATCCACCCCGTCAACGCCATGTTGGAATCGTAGACACGCAGCAGCTCCTGCTGCAGTATGCCAAAACTCTTCAGCTGCCCAAACGACAGCATGTTAGCGAGGAAGCCCCCAAAGCAGCACATCCATCCCCAGCCTCCGTCCGGAACTTCAACAGGCGATGACGTCATCGGCGCAGTTCGGGGTTCGAATCAATCTATCGCTACTTTGGAACGTTGAAATGAACTAAAGAAAACGTTTGAATCGCTTCCAGGTAAGCTTGCTGTATCCAGCCCTCGTTGCCACTGCCGCAGAAACACTGGTGCACTCGTGGGACTGACAACGACGGCTGTAGACCTAGAGATATAGTGTGTCATATGCGTGTGTCTTACTGAGGCTTACGACACCGTGTGTACTTAGTGCACCTATAGTGTATCATATGTCTGTGTCATATGCCGGGGCAAGCAGCGTGCGTGAGTGCACGGATGCTACAGTTCAGTTATACATTATCTTGCCGCCCTTTTTATTATGCCCGCTCGCGCTGTGCAGCGTGCACAAACAACATGAATAAGAGAGGTATACAGGTTCTCTCTTATTCATGTTGTTTGTGCACGCTGCACAGCGCGGGCGGGCATACGGTGTATTTGTGTGTTGCAGATGAGCATTTGACCGGCATTCCCAGGTGAAATAGAGTAGGCCTAGAGAAACATTAAGACTTCTTTGGTACATTTCATGTTTATTGACCATTAATTTTTTTTATTGAGACGTTCCAAGTGCCTGTGTCCGTAACAGCGATATCGCGTTGTTCTTATCTCTAGACGCGTAATTCTTTGCATACGAACGTGCACCGGAGCTCCCCGATAAAAAACTTAAACGAGAGCGAATATTTGCATGTTGTTGCTGATTCTACCACAGGCCCTTTTTAAGGTCAGTGACCTAGCAGGACACCTACCCAGGCTAAAGTTTCAAGAAGAGTAAAAGAGCGAAGCGGCCTGTGGTAAAAGAGCGAAGCGGCGGCGAGCAACGGGCTGAGACGCTAGCGAAAATCTTTATCGCATGTACCTAGTACTGGCGACGTGCTCTCTAAGAAAATTGCAGAAATTCAGCGAAATACTGCTTCCGCCGGCAACTATAGGGCATCCAGAGAGACATGATACAAGATTGCGTGGCACAGCTTTGCTGTTAATCCCGAGCGCTGCGCGCGGATGAGACGCGCAGTTCCGCGGGATATGCGCACGCGACCGCGGGGATGTTCAAGTATGAAGCGCTGTCCGCAGTGGAGACGTGCGCCAAATTAGATGCCCGGCGCTCGTCTCCACAACGGTCAGCGGATGGTCTGTAGTTTTAGATAACAATAAAGACTTTGTTCTAAAAAGAACTATCGGTGGCTAAATAAGAGCAATATAGAAACCTTTGAATCTCTTGACTAGTCAGTCAAAGGGCTTGTTGGGGGTCCATTATTTACATTAGAGCTTCCAATTCAAATGGCCCATGAAATTGTCAAGTGGAATTTTGTTTTTCGGAACCCCAAAGAAAATATCTCCCTCTTACATGCACCACCTCCCTAATAAATCACGCATTCCGGCGTAAACAATAACAGAGGTGAAATTGTGTTGAGTTTATGGCTCTTGGCGCACGTGCATTGACGTACAAGACTGATGAAAGGGCTCAAGTATAGAGAGCATGGTTGTGAGAGCAAAGCCGATGTGTTACGCTACATAGTTCTCAATCTCGCCATGCTCTCTATCCTTGTACCGTAGGCTTGGAACGTCTCAATAAAAATAAATCTTCACACAATTTTTCACAATGATCGACCGCCTGTCTGCAAAATAGGTGAACGTATGTAAAACATATACGGTTAGTACTTACTGCGACATATATCCGTGACTAACTGAAACCACTAAATTGGTAAAATGTTGCATGCACCTTAAGAAATGTGAGAAATTACGAG